CTGGTCCGGAGCTGACCAGAATTGGTCAGCCGGACCAGCGCAGTCAGACGGAGCAGGACGAGTTGGGTCGGAGTTCGGCTGGTCCGGCGGACCGAAATCTTGGTTCGCCGGACCGGCAAGTCAAGCGGACTGAATATCTTGGTCCGGAGCTCGGCTGGTCCGGCGGACCAAGATTCTGGTCCGCCGGATCGCGGACTGTCGGCAAACGGATTTTACGTGTGCTTGGTCCGGCTGACCAAGAGTTGGTCAGCCCCGGACCAAGACACTGAAAAATCAAACATCGCATTTTCTCGCCTTTTTCTTGGTGGGAAGCAGGTGAGGAACCTAGAACTCGACCTAAACTCGTCCCTTAGCCTTCAGAAGAGCTGAGGAACTCTGGAGAATTCTCTCCCAAGCTCAAGAGAGCATTCTTGAATCCAAAAGAGAGATTTGATCTCTTAGTGCTCTAGCAAGCAAGTTTCCAAGTGTTGGAAACCATCCTAAGGGTGTGGACTGCTCAAGAGGGTGTTGGCTCATTCAACACCTCAGTTGTGATCAAGCAAACCTTTCAGATTCGGAATCGAACAGGTTAGCTTTTCTCTCAAGTAAGTTCTTCATCGAAACAATGGTCCGTGGGCGGTTCAAAATCGTTTTGAACGCCAATTCCGCTGCGCAAGCCCGCGGACCAGACCCGAGACCGGTTGTGAACCGGTGCTCGAGGTTCCCGTGCGACCCATCATATATATATATCAATTTGAATATGTATATACGTAAATCGATATGTCTATATTAACCATATACATACGCACAAGAAATATATATATATATATATATGTATATATGTATGTGTGTATATAAATATTTATATGTATAAACATTTATATATGTATATATATTAATGTTATATGATATCATAAGTTTAACTTGGAGCAGTTAGATGATGGTCAATTGGAACTCTATGGTTAAGGAGGATTGAGCTGGAGTAGTGGAAGGATGAGTGATCTATTGGGAAGTGAGTTTCGTGATCGAGATCATTGTCGGGGTCAGGGCTAGGGTCGGGTTCGCGGTCGGGGTCGGGGGCGGGGTCGGGTTCGCGGCCGGGGTCGGGGTCGGGATCCAGAATATGTTTTGAATTTTTCGTTGGATAATTCCAACGGATTGCGGTTGAAAATTTCGTTGGAAAATTCCAACGGATATCGGTTGGAAATTCCGTTTGAAAATTCCAACGGAAAAATTCGTTGAAATTCCGTTGAAAATTCCAACGGTTTTCCAACGAACACCGATTTCCAACGACGAAATTTCAACGGATTTATCCGTTGGAAACGTTAATTTCCAACGGAAATTTGGCAATTTCCAACGGATTTGCCCGTTGGAAATGACCATTTTGTTGTAGTATTAAGACGATAGGAAAACAAATAAAAATTTTGAATTCCATATGAGGTGACTAAATGGTTGTAACTCTGATTGTAAAGATAGTTAATGTATCATTTATAGTAGATATATATCCTATGTTCGAGTCGACACTGAGAGTATCATAGTTTTTTTTTTTGATAAACAGGAGGTTCACTTGGGGCCACTTAATCCCCTAGGTCCGGAGTCAGTTTTTAGATACACAATTAATTGCGTCCCCTCTTCCTTACAAGTGGAATCGAATTCAGGATGTTAAAGATGATTTTGTCATCTCACCGCCATTGAGCCTGTGACAGCCCAGGATACCGTAGGAGGGTGGGGAGTGATCGTCGGTGCGAGAGGCATGGACAAAGGGCGACTCCTGACGAGCTTCTGGGTAGGGGGTATAGGGATGAATCGAACGCACCGGAATGAGAGAGATCCGAGGGCTGTGTAGGTATGGGACTACACAGTCAAAGACAAATTAAATGAATTAATTAAGCTACTCATAGCAACAAGATGCATCTACCTTTTCGGTTGCCCACCTCGAGAGAACTCCAAAGTTAAACGTGTTGGCTTTGGAATAGTCTTAGGATGGGTGACCTCATGGGAAGTACTTTACGGGATGTGTGCGAATGAGGATAAAACACGCTTAAAAGGTCCTATGTTGGTACGTGGTGACATCTCTATCATTTTTACGGCTTCAGATCGTTATAGAGCCACCCACTGTTGAGTAGGATATCATAGTTGAATCAAAGGTTGAGTAAATTAATTATTATAAAAAAAATAAAAAATTAAACTATAGTTTTACGTCGAATATATATTATGATTAAGACTTTGGATAAGTGATCGATAATATTATTAATTTGGGGTATACCGAGAAGTGAATCTTTTAATGCCAAGGTGGAGAGTTGGTTTGGTACATGAGATTTTCATGCTTTTTGGCCTAACAAATGACCAAAGTAAAATGTGAAACTTCTTTAACATATATAACGTGTCAACCATGCGAGCTGTTATATAGTCGTTTTCCAGAAATAACTTGTTGCAAAAAAAGAAATTATAGTATAATTGTCAATATATTATTCGGTGAGTTTAAATAGATAATATAGTTAACTGTTCGGCTCAATTACTATTATGCCCTCCCTCATTTTGCCGCATCATGTATCGTTTATAGGACTTAGGAGAATGCATAACCTCACAAATGCTCACGTACATACATGCATACATATACTTATATCATCAACACTTAGAGAGTATAAACGCGTGTATATTTCTATAAGTACACATATATGTATATACGGTTGTGCGTATAGTGTCGATGGTGGAAACAGTCGATGAGAGGAGGGATCCAATACACGTGGATTTGATCATGCAATTCGCAATTTTGGGATATTTTTGTATGCCTGCAATTGGTCGTGCGCGACAGTGCACATGGATCGTTTTTTTTTTTTTTGCTTAGAGAAACTTTACTTGAGTTTTCACTATTATACGAACTGATACGGTATCAGCTGTGTATGCGTGTGAGTATATACGTGTATAATTGTACATTTTATTAATTAATCTACGAATATATATAGCTTCATACACTAAAAAGGAAACATACCATATGGATATGGTACTTGCCTCCATCCACTGTGTAAAAAGAAGTGCGTGTGGACCGTTTCCAATTTATATTTATTCATTTATATATAAAAGCTGCCAGTGCCATCAACTACTAAGATTCTCGAGATATTTTCTAAGAGACCTCATACTTCAAACATGCACTGCTCGTGGCATGGATCCCACCCTTTCTTTTTCCCTTGAGTGTTGCAAAATAAATTTTTAAAAAAAAAATACTTCCTAACGAATAAGAATCTTCGTACAAATGCTAATAAATAATTCCAACTTGAGTATATAATATGCATATATTAACAAAAAAAAACATTAAGTGTTCATATAAAACAATGAATCTCGAATCTTAAGCATAACAATTCGATTAATCACATATGGGATATTTATACACGGAAGCCACAATTAGTAATATCAACAATTTTAAACAAAGTACGAATTCCATTAATATGGAACACAAACTTGGAAAAAGTCACACAAAGTCTCTCTTAATTTCTATAGGTGAGAGAGTGCAAACCAGTGAATCTAGTGAGCTTAAGAACAATCAATTTGTTTAATTCAATACACATTAAACAAGAATCTCACACATGTACACTTTTTATATATGTGTATGAACAAACATTATAAAAAAATACATTTTTGAAACTATTAAAACATGTTTTAATTATATCAACGAATGTAACATCATAAACTGACTCATTTGGATTTGGAGTACAAGTGCAGCAGGATATATATATATATATACATACACGTGTGTGTGTGAGTGTGTGTATAGAGAGGATAAGGTAGGCATATATATATATATGCTGACCTCTTACTGATGTAATAAACCATAAAAACTATGCTAGGTAATTCCTTCATCATCGTCCCGTTTTCTCAGAATAAAAAATAAAAAGAATTAAGACCGACTATCTTACCATAACTTATTAACTTATATGTTTAATCGTGTATATATATATATGTATATATATGTGTGTGACCCAACAGATCATGAGCGAGTGGTCAAGCTTGGGGTAGGAGGTAACTCGTTGAGTGTTCGATTCCTGGCTGGTGGGGAGGGAGGTAATTTTCTGGGTTTATATGATCCATATACAAAGACTACTCTCGGGCCGGAGGTTTACCTAGTCAGCGCGTCCGAAGGGTAGCAGTTAGGATCCTCCGTTATAAATATATATATATATATATATATATATATATGTGTGCCGATACACCTGTCAGCATAGCTTTAGGCCCGTGAGGACGGAATTTTCCTTAAACAACGGCGCAATTACCATATGGGATTGACGTTGAGAGCCATGAAACTAATGCGTCCTTCGGGGACAATGTATTCTACATGAAACATCATCTCAAACGTTATCATTTCGTTAGACTTTAACTTTACACAAGATGTTTAATCATCATTATAGTATACGTAATAATAACACATGCATGCGTTAATTTGCAATACCAGCGAATTTCTTGATCGGACATATATACAAAATACATAAAAGATTTTCTATAATTGATTTATATGGATGCATTCCTTTTATAGTTTACTTCCATTTATTGGATAGCAGAAACTAATATATATATTCTATAATAACTCTTTATAAATTGCATATGATTCCCCAATTGTGGCTGTAACTTGTGTGCGTTATATCATCACTTCATGAGTCATAATGACTAGCTGGTAGATATTTTATTGCTAGGGCGGTGGTGCTTCATTTTCTCTTTGATAATCACGTATTAATAATAATAATAATAAAACAACAATACAAACTTTATTTATTTTAGAACCGTATTTATGTTTAATTTCTTCAAAGGGTCGGGATGGCCCATATCACACACCATCGCACCCACTTGTTGTCTTTTTACAAAAGCTTCTTCGTGTTGCCTATAAAAAGGAGAAGCTTTCTTACCATAATTTCAAAACATAATAATTCCATTATTAGAAAGAAAAATATATCACAAACAATATTATTAGAACCACCACCAAAAAAAAGATGAGAACCGTCTTCTTGTTGATGATTTTCTTTCTTATAACCATGATTACAACAGTTTCAGCTTCTCGTCCGTTCCCCGGCCGAAGCAACGTACCACCGGTCCAAACCACTCAGGGAGCAACTGGCTCGGCCCATGGGCCCAATTGGGAGTACAATTGGGGTTGGGGCTCGACCCCAAACTCGGGCTGGGGTTATGGGTCGGGTTCGGGCCGGTCATCGACCGGTTGGGGAAGAGGGTATGGATTCGGGTTCGGGTCTGGTTCTGGATCCGGGTCAGGAAGCGGGTATGGGTACGGTTCCGGCGGCGGCGGAGTCCACGATGGTGGTGTCGCCGGTCTGAACCACGAGGTGAACCGTCGTCCTTGAGGGTATTTTGGTAATTTTCTCTACAAGGTGAAAGGGTTTTAATTTGTGGGTTTGTGTAACATTATGTTGACTCTAAATTCTGTTGCAGACATAAGTGAACTTAAAACATGTTTGTAATATCGCAAGTTGTCAGATTTTGTTAAGACTTTTTTTTTTTTTGCTTTATTTTTAAATATAGATTATGTGCTTATTATTTCTCTCTCTCTTCCCTTGAAGTATATAATTCACAGAATAATCAAATAAAGTGGGGGGAAATACAAATCAAATTGTTGAAGCATATTTTAGTTGGACATAATAATATTATTGTTTTTGGTCCGAGTTTATTAAATAAATAAATAAAACATGTGGTAATTGTATGGGCCTCAATGGACCTTTACCTTTAGCCCAGTTATGAGATCCGTATGAAAGCATTCAACGTTTGATTCAACCAAAAATATTCATCAACCATTAAAAAAAACTGATCATAAATGTGATTAAAACGACACTTTTAGGTTGATTTGTGAAGAGCACACTCCGCTTTTTTCGCATTAAAATTCATATATAGAGAGAAAGCAAAGTTAGAGCAATCTCACTGTAGTTTGTTATATCAATTGATTCGAAAGTGTGCGCATATATATATATATATGGTTCGGGTTTGGATTTTGTTAAAATTAGATTTTCTTAAGAAAATTTTGGTTTTTCAGAAATTTTATAAAGTTCGGTTTGGTTCAATTCTATTTCGAGAAATTCATTTCTGTAAAAAAAATAGTGTTCGGGAATTTTGATGGTACAGTTCAAAAATACCAAGATTTTCAGTTTGGTACGGTTCATTTTCTCGGAATCGAACTCTCTAATTGTGAATGTAATTCCTTTTCGGAAACGTAAAAAAAAAAAAAACTGCTACTTTTAGGAAAAGTATATCAAAAGATCGATCACATGATTTGTCTAAGTATTGTTTTGTCAGATTGATTCCTTAAACCCACGCTTGGAAAGCATGTTCTTGATTAGACACCTAACATATCATATGATCGGTGAAAACTAAATATTGTTAGTATTTCATTTAAATTCTCATAATCTACAATTGCGGAATATTAATTTCATGAATCTATCGAGCATATTAATGCAAAGATTTACCAAAACATAATAAACATCAAGTGTACCTAACGTGAAGAATATACAAGATTTATAGGGACCAATTTACATTCATGTGTAATTATCTAAATCATCCATAACGGAATAGAAAATTTTGGGTGACGGGCATCTGCATATTTATTTTTTTGGCAAAGGAGAGGACCACCACGAACCTTGAGATTCGGATGCGGAATAAACTCACCGGTCTCACGCAATGGCATCTGTATATTTTATTTCACTTATACCAAAATTACAGTTTGGAAACCCATATTAATCGAGCACAATTTATTCTCATCAGTAATTAATACTATCAAATCATATTACCCAAATTGGGGTAGTTCAATCTGTGAAACGGGATGTTTAGTGTTTGTTCCGTCCCGGATTCAAACATCAAGTTTGGAGAGTAGTATTCACGTGGACATTCCCGATCTCTAAGATTAGTTTGGACTTCGATCTAAAATATCTAATTAAAAAAATATATCAATCATTGGTTATGACATTGAACCGTATTTAGGTTAGAAAAATTCCAACAACTATAACTAAACTAAACATCATGCCATTATCCGAACTTAACTAATAGAGAACTTCGACGACAGAGAGAAAAATGATAAGCAAACACATAAGGGAAAGAAAAGGTCTCGAAAACAAATCTGTAAACTCCAATATGTATGTTTACGTTGTCCTAGTATTTCTAAACCCTCCAAACAAAGGAGAGGGTTTGGGTTTCAGACAACAGCGAGCTGCTGCTTGCGATGGGGAGATTCTTCGTCGCGAGGGTTGATTCCGAAAGAAGGTTGTGGAAGGAGAGAGCGCTGCGAGTGGAGGAAAGAAGAGTAGCCGCTGAATGTGGAAGGCGTCACGTTCAGCTGGAACCCTAACCCGAACAAGAACTCCATCTCCAACACGTTCATCTCCTCCCCACTTATCCCCCCTATCTTTGCGTAATATCCATTGTTGTACCGCCTGAAATTTTATTTTATTTTTATTATTATTAGTTTCACCAAAAGAAAATAACAATTTGTTCTAATGCTATTAGATACAAAACGAATATTATATATTACGAATGATAAAAGTCCAATATATATGCTGTAAATCGTAATATCTAAGTTTTGTATAGATGGTGCTGCTGCTATCAACAGAAATGTAGCATTTAAACTTAAAAAAAAAAACAGAAATGTAGCATCAACAAAGTTTTGAAAATTACCGGATGACCCCTAGACTTTTGGATTCTTGTGCTTTTAACCTGGACTCTTTGTCAAATACATTCGAGACCGAGTACAGAAGTTTCAAAGAAACACGGAAAACACCCCAAACTCCTCAAAGGTCACATTTTGGCCCCACCATTCTTTGAGTGAGCCGGAAAGAAACAAAACCCCGTTCCCCATTCTTTTCGTCTAAATCGAAATTCAGAGACCTTGTGGTACAAATACGTTATAAAAACAGAACATTTATCCAATTCTTGTACTGTTACTCCAATTTATTAAACGAAAGATTCTGAATTTCGTAAAGATACGAAATGGGTGTATGCATTTCATATATATTTTAAATTTTTTAAAAGGAAAGAGAGAGAGAGAGAGCTTACTTGTCGTCCATGAACTTGGAAGAGACCAAAACACTGGTGATAATGAGCCTATGAACATTAAAGGAATCGATCGGCGAAAATGGCTGCTTCTGCACAAAACGGTCCAAATATATATAAGCGACGATATAACACGAGTGGCTGCAGTTGGCGTACTTGAAGATCCTCTCCACGTAGCTTCTGATTGAGATAGAAGGTTTCGTCAGGCCATGGAAGCCCGACTTCCTCCGGTACTTCCTCATCAACGGACGACTCCTCATCAGCTCGTCGTTCTTCTCCGCCACTCTCTGAAGCAGATACGATAGCGCAGCTATGACACTCGGCATGATCTCCGCCGTCCATTCTCGATCCCCGTCATTCCTCGGCTTCTGATTCTGACCAGTCATTGCTCTCTCTCCCCCAATTTTTTTTTTTTTTTTTTTGGCTGGTGTAGTGTTATATGTTTAGCTGTATGTCGCAAGAACACAGCTTTTGTTTTGATAGTGACAAGTTTTTTTTTTTAATACACCGTCTTGGCTTTTGTCTGTCCTGTCGTTTTGGGTATTTATATACAGAAGGAAACAATCAAGCGATTACAATATGGATTTCCATTAATGCTGGCGATAGATACAAATATGTCTATATACGTACACATATACATATAGTATATATGTGCATAATACAGACATACGCGCGTATATTATAAACTGCAATATACGTTTTTGTGTTAAGCCAATGAAAACAAAAACCTGAATCTTGAAGGCTAATCCTTATCAATGAGAACTACAAGTAAACCCTAAAGAGAGAGAGAGAAAGAAAATGGTGAAATATAAAATGGCAACGGATAATATATAAAAGATTTTTGTGACATTATGATGTGATTATTAATGAGTTAATGTATTTGTCGAAGGAAGAGCATAAAATCATATGCTAATAACTTGAGATTTGGTTTTCGTTAGCACTAAATTAGATAACCCACCAAACTCATCGCCCCATAATTTTCCCACGTTCTTTTTTTTTTCTCACCAACGCGCGCGTGTACACATGTATGTATGTATGTGTGTGTGTAATAAAAATAATCTCAAGTCGGTCCAAGGAGATAATAATTTCAATTTGCCTTCACACGATCAAGATAAGCTAAAAATTAAAACTTATAGACTCGGATAATCATAACTTGTTGCAATTATTTACGATAAAGTGTATATATAATCCAAAGTTCAATCCGAAATCTCTAAAATTTAATGATGCCAAAAAAGAAAAAAGAAAAAAAAAAGAAACCTCTATAGCATATACATTTTTTTTCCCGGACATTAATTGAACTGTTTCTCCAAAACTCCATAAAACAACAAATGATCCAAGTTCCCTAAAATAATCGCCCACAAAATACCGAAATCTAATTTTACTGTAACTTCTGGCATAATTAAATTAAATATATTTTTTTAAAAAAAAATTAGGAACTCGATGTCAATAAAAAAAAATCAAATACAATCAATTTTTTTTTTACATGATTCAACTAATTTTCAATTATATCATTCGATTAATTTGGTTTAAAAATATATACGAGCTAATTTCATTCGGATACAATTTTGTGTATGAAAACTCCATTGCTATCTTCACAATGTGCAAATAGACAAAAAAAAAAAGAACCCATCAACTAGAGACAGGCCAACACTAATGACATCAAAATCAGTTCTCTTCTTCAGACATATCCCACACTCTTCCATAACAGGCTCGACTATTCATATATACATACAGACATACATACATACATACATACATACAAACTATATAACCCACATATCTCCCACTGTCTATGCTCTTAATATGAGAACTGTGGTAGTGGCAAAGGCCAGCGAGCAGACTTACCCGTAGCAGCGGATTGGATCGCTGCAGCCTTTGGCAGCAGATTGCTTGTGGCCAAACCGGCCGCCTTTGGCAAGGTACTGCTGGTGGCACTCTTCAGCTCTGTAGAACTTCTTGGCCGGTAAGATCTCCGTCACAATCTTCCTGTCCACCTGTTTCTGGTGTCGTTCCATTGACTCCTGGGCTAGCTTCTCTTGCTCGGGTGTGTAGAAGTATATTCCCGACCGGTACTGGGTTCCCACGTCATTTCCCTGCTCCAAATGGTGCAGAAAAAAGTAGCAGGGAGATTTTTTGGAACATGAATATAAATCAATAAAGGCAGAGAGCACTTTGACACACTATTACAATGGTCTAGATCGATAGGAAAAAGACATCTCATGCACGAAATGCTTGTTAATTGAATGCATTGTGCGTTCTTTGGAATTTGCGATAAAGGGAGTTCATATACTAAGACTACATGCGATATAACAACCGACCCGGGTGAGGAATTTGCCTCTTCAGGTCAGAGAACCATACAATTTCTTCCTCGAACTTTCGAGCCCAAAACTCAAGCCTCGTTAAAGAAAATAGACCGTATGAGATTGTATTTCCTGTCACACTAATCAGATACACAATCCAAAAGTGGCTAAATACTCTAAGAAAACACCAATTTAAAATGAATCCAAGTTCCACCCACTATGACAAGAAGAATGATACAATGCCAAGATCAAATCAGTTCTGAAAACTAGATAAGACCATAATCCAGAGAGCAAATTGCTCGTGGAAATGGGAAAGAAAAGAAAAAGCTTTTCCCGTCCCGTGTTCGTCTATTGATTTGAGCTAAAGGAACGGGAAAATATTTGACGGTACGAGATTGTGATTGATCAATAAACCCATGTTATAGGTCAAAACATCAAAACTGACTCAAATTTATACGATCCCGAGAGAGAATCTTGATCATTAAACATGCTAGCCAACCAATTATGACACTCTTGAATCCATATCTGTAGCCAACTAATGTGACAAAACACAGCTGAAGAAGCAGCTTGTAACACTCCAGCAATCAAAATTACAGTCTTTACCCAAAGAAATTCATCAAAAATCTCAATTTAGATCAATTCTGTCGGCCTAAGCTCTGTAATTCACGTCCTCAAATTCCAAAAAAAAAATGTTCAAAATGAGAATTATCTACCAACGTTATGGAATCGTATAAAGTTTCATCAAACAAGAAAAAAGACCCTATAAAGTTTCGTCAATCCCAAACATATATCCAAACCTAAAACCTCAATATCCATCAAATTTAGCCCATCAAGCTCAACCAAAGACAGAGGAAGTCACAAGCCCCAAACTACCACTGGGAATGCAGCTCAATTTCACAAAAGAATAATCAAAACCCTAGAAACTTCGCCATCTTCGAAACGCCGAATCCAAGCCCAAAACCTATACATCAAAGCGAAACAAGAGAAACCCAAGAAGAAAGAAGACAAAAATCAAAATCGCACCTGACGATTCAAGGTGGTGGGATCATGCCTAGACCAGAACAAGTCAAGCAACGATTCGTAACTGCACTCTTTGGGATCATACTGAACCCTAACAACCTCTGCATGGTTCGTGGTTCCCGAACATGCATCCTCGTATCTCGGATTGTGCGTGATCCCTTGGCTGTAGCCAACCTCGGTCTTGGTCGCGCCAGGAACCCTCTGATACGCAAGCTCCACGCCCCAGAAACAGCCGGCGGCGAACTGGGCAAACTGGTTTCCCGGAGCCGGAGAGTCGTCGTCGGGACCCTGTGCGATCGGAGAAAAGTCTATACTGGTGTGTCTCGATCCGAATCCGAGCATGTTCAGTATGTTCATGGAGAATTTCGATCGAGAGCGAGCGGAGGAAATGGGCCAGGGAGAGAATTGGGTTGGATCGGCTGACGTTGCGAGATGGGGAAATAGTCGAAACTTCTATCAGTTTTTATAAATTTATTTAATTCACGAAACATGAATAACCTGTCAAGAAACATACGAGTAAAAACCATTCAACTACATCCAAATTATGTACCGAGGGTTAATTCCAGAAAAATACTCCAAATTACATTTTTTTCTATAATAATATCCAATTTAAAATTTAGTTAATTAATATCTCAATTTACAAATATTTTCCAAATCGATATCCAAAGTTGACGGAGTTAATTTTTCCGTCCGTGTACCACATCACCGGACACGTCAATGTCATATTAATATCACATCAGATTATGTTATTTTTAGAAAAATATCCCATTTCTTGATTTTTTTTCAAATATATACACAAATTATAAATTTAACATAAATATACCACAATTTACCAAATATTTTCAAATTTATACCCATATTTGTAAATATTTTTTCCAAATTGATATCCGCATTTGTAAACGTATCCCAAGTCCGACATGACCCCACACTTGGCCCGAAGGTTTCAGACTCGGGTTTGGACTGGCCCAATTTTTTCGGGCTCGGATCGAAACCCGATCCTATAGATCTCAAGCTCAGATCGAAGTTCGAATCGAGCTCGAATCCCAAATCGAGTCCGACCTATACATCGATAATCATAATTAGCATGTCAATTTTGGTTCGAGACTCGAAGCCCGGTACAACTCGACCCATACATCGATAATCATATTTTTCGGGCTATTGAGTTGGGCTCGATTCGGACTTCGAGTCTCGGGCCAAAAAAAAGAAAAAATATTTACAAAGTAAAATTATACGGGGTGTGTTGACTCGACCCAATCCGATCTGATCCCAAATCTATAGAGTCGAGCTTCAAACTTGGTAATATAGGACCGAAAAAATTGGGCCAGTCCGAACCTGAGCCCGAAATTCTCGGGCCGAGTGCATGGTCAGGTCGAACTTAGAAGACGTTTACAAATGCGGGTATCAATTTAGAAAAATATTTACAAATTTGGATATAAATTTGGATATATTTTATAAATTAGGGTATATTTATGTTAAGTTTATAATTTGGATATATATTTGGAAAAAAAATCAAGAATTGTGGTATTTTTCTGGAAATAACATAATCTGATGTGGTATTGACGTGTCTGGTGATATAACACACGTGATATAACACACATGATGAAAAAATTAACTTTGTCACCTTTGAGTATCGATTTGAAAAATATTTCCAAATTGAGGTATTAATTAGCTAAATTCTAAATTAGGGTATTATTATAAAAAAAATTGAAAATTGAAGTATTTTTCTGGAATTAACCCTATTAAAAATATTTAAAACTCTTTATTTTTATCACATATAATATTTTTAAATATTCAAATTATTGGCAATTAGTTGTGTTTGATAATCATTACAAATTTATTCAAAGCATTATAATTATTTTAGCTTTAATTTTTATACAATTCTATTTATATATAAATTAAATTAAAATTTTATTTGTGGTTACTTCTTAGTTTTCTAAAAACTAGTTAAATTTGTTTCATATTTGTTAGTTATATCTATATTATAATAATTTATTATTTATCATCAAATGATTTATATAAATATATATAATTAATTATTAATGTTAGATGAAGAATGAGGTTTATTTAGTGTTTAAGATTTTAGAAGAAATTAGAAAATATTTTGGAAAAGAAATAACTTGAAAATTTTGGAAGCTGAACTAAATGTATTTTTTTATCTTTCTTTTAATTTTTCTCTCTTATTTATTTTTATTCCAACCTTCATATAAACACACCTATTTATAGTACAATCTCACATCTAATTTTATATACTACAATCTCATATCTAATTTTATATCTAGCTCGTTTATTTAACACATTTTTATCTGATTTTTATCTTAACGATCATATTTTTTTCTTCTTCATATTTATAACTACAACACCAAACTACAATTTAATCACATTTTCATCAACCTTATATATTAATCATATTTTAAAAAAAAATATACCAAACTATAATATGTTTTTTCAAAATCAAGTTTATATTTCAACAGTTCCCGTAAACTCGATTTTATGATTCCGAATTTCATCTTTATTCTTTCAAAATTTTCGTTTCAATGGTTTTGTGAATTTATCTATAGATATGTTAAATCTCATGATAAGATTGCAAATATTTTCACAAAACCATTAAAGTGAAAAGACTTTAAGAGAATTAGAAGCACATTCGAAATCACAAAATCAATTTTACGGAAGAATGTTGCAATATAAACTTGATTTTGAAAAAAAATATATTATAGTTTGGTATGTTTTTAAAAAAAATGTGATTAACATGTAAGGTTGGTGAAAATATGATTAAATTGTAGTTTGGTATAGTAATTAAAAATGTGATGAATATATATGATCGTTAAGATAAAAATTAGATAAAAATGTGTTAAATAAATGAGTTATATATAAAATTAGGTGTGAGATAATAGTATAAACAGATATATTTGTATGAAGTTTGGAATAAAAAAATTTCTTTGTTGGATTAAAAAGAGGGCCATTTTAGTGTTTAGGATTTTAGAGTAAATTAAGAAATATTTTAAGAAAAGAAAGAACCTGAAAATTTTAGAAGATGAAATGTTTTTTTATTATTTCAAATTTCATACAAACACACCTATTTATACTACATCTCATACCTAATTTCATACCTAACTCACTTATTTAACACATTTATACATAATTTTTATCCTAACTACTATCTATATTCATCACATTTCTAACTACCACACCAAACTACAATCTCATAACCTTACATATTAATCACATTTTTTCAAACCATATCAAACTCTAATATTTTTTTTTTCAAAATCAAGTTTATATTTCAACAGTTAATTCCAAATTATTTTCATTTTTTTGTTATGCTGTTTTATTAAATGTTTTGTTTCACGATTATCAATTTGTTTGCTTTATGTAAATCTTATCAAAACAATTTACTTCGGAACTGTTATGAAAAAAATAATGAAAATTAAACTAGTTAAAGATTCATTAAAAATAATTTGACATGATTGGAACACTAAATAATTTGACCTAAAGAAAAAAAAAAGTTAGAAGCCTATTAATTTTTTTATAATCAATAAATTTACCAAACATTTTGACTCAACTACATCTTTCAGATAAATTTATTAGTTTCGAATGGGTCATTTAATAAATTTTAAAAAAATGATATTCAACTTTTAAACGACTATATATATTAAATTATTTGTCACGACACAAAAAAGTACGTTGAACTTGACAATGAGTTTGATATACTTCTTTCTATGTTCTTCGATATCAAAAAACCCGTGCGATGATAAGAGTCGAAGTAGATGTTCCTCGATGAAGATGGTGAGAGCGAGAGTTTGAATGAATCAGGATGTCAAAGTGACTTCAACTTATAAGATGATTCAATATTGTAGATTCATTTTTTACCTGGTTTAGTCAATATTTTTAAGACGTGTAAAAACTATTGTGATTTTATATATTTTTTAATTTTTTAATTAATTATGTATTTTTATTTTCTTATATATATTTTTTTTATTGATTTTAGAGAAATTTAATTTTTTAGTCATTATGTGTATAATTTATTTTAAATTTTAAGTTTGATATTTTAATGTTTAAAATTTATAATAAAATATCATTTATTTGATTTTTTTTATAATATAAATACAAAATATTATATATTTTTTTATGATTTGTGAGGTAACTCCGTTTATCTCGTGATTCGAGCTATGTCGAACTCAAATCGGCTCGTTTGACAACCCTAGTATCGAAGTCGAAGAAGAAGTTGTCAACTCATTTGCGCAGACGGGACAAAACTTTGGTGTATATATATATATAACTAATCAATTACAGAAATATAAACCGATTCCAAGAGAAAATATTAAGTGAAAAAGCGTTAATTGGTTCCTCCCGGGGGGATCTTGGCTGTCCCATGTATCTGAAGTTCTTAACCGGCTTTTTGGGTAAAATCGGAAGCTCGGTCCGCCTAAGGTGGAGGCATACCGGTCGGTATATGCCTCGGAGCCGGTATACCGGACGGGTGAACCGTCTGAAAGCCCCCAGCTTTGGCGGAATGAAACATTTGAGGAAATACGAGATACGGAGGAGCATAGTAGTCATGTGGTATTGTTTGGTAGATTCGTCCGTATTCCATACTTAGATTCTGAAAGGGATTCAAAATATCGTATCTTGCAATATCCTGTTACCAAAAAAACCCATCTCTTAGAACATATATACATATGTGTGTATATATATATGTATAGCACGATGAAGCCTCTGAGAATTCACATACCTGAACCGGTTCTCTCGGTAAGATTGTCGGTTTAACCGAAGGGGTGGTATCAGTCTGTAGAAACGAACAACACATTCGAAAAGTTTCATCATAAGCAAATCCCGATCCAACAGTTGATTTGTGACGGACTCTTCTTGAAAATCCAAGAACGTAAACCTTTACCTCAGCGAGAGTCTTCGATGGTGCAGGTGCATCCGTCGAAGGTTGTTGAGGGCTGTCATCTTCCTGTTCCAACCAAACAAAAACAAAAAAACACCTAAGCCCAAGGGACTTGAAACAGGGGGCAGACATTTTTACCCGAAACTCGCGGTTTCTAAATACCGATGTTCGCGGGTGCTCGCCATGAACAAGACAAAACCCGGGTGCAATGAGGCTAGAAACTCAGTCTGCAGGTCCGGGTTTTCCTGAAACATGACTGGTTATCTTGTGGAGCTCGAGTAGGAGTAAAATTATCAAAATATTCATAAAGTCGTCATAAATCAACGAGTACCCGCGGGAACGAGACAGGTACCCCGTCCGGTGAGTAGGGGTGGTCATTTCAGGTTTTGGTTCGGTTATTTTGGGTTCGGTTATTTCGGTTACAAAGAAATTATCCAAACGGTTATATAGATTTAATCGGTTCGGTTCGGTTTTTTGCATAATGTAAGAACCGGGAAAACATGACAGAATGAGGCGGTTTCTTGTGGGGCAAGGAAACTGTACCTCGTGGTCGTTAAGGGGCATGTCGAAGAGGCTGGCCCGTCGTTTTCTGTTGCCGTTGATGTTCTGTCGGATGAAATACTTCTGGGCGTGGCTAGCCACCTGGGCCGGGGTCCTCGTGGTCACGAATTTCTTAGAAATGTCACTCCAATTGCTTCTTCCGAGCTTCTTCAGACCGGCTAAGAACGTCCGGTGCTCCTCTACCGTCCAAGGCTTTCCTGTTCAAACCATCCCCGTTATCCTTTGTATCGACTTAGTGTCATTGCGTTAATATTGAACTTGTGTTCAATTGGATATCGGAACACACAACAAAAATTACTCTCTTGTAATTCAAAAGTTTGATCGATTTCACCACGGTCTAAGCGTTGAAAATCCGTTGATAAATAGAGATAATTATTTTCTGTGATTACCCTTTTTCTTTTCATGAGCGGCTTTCCGCTTCTTAGAAGAAATCAGGCTGTCCGAGAGATAACCGGAATCCTCTACGGCGGCGGCGGCGTTACCGGCGAGACTGGAATCCTCTGCGGCGGCGGCGGCGGCGTTACCGGGGAGAGACTGTAGGTTTCCCAAACTGACGCTCTTTCTTAACGCCGTTACGTTTGGCTTGGGATCCGATATGTTAACGCCGAACAGCTTAACGCAGGGCTTATTAACGTCGTTAACGCATGTCCGTGCGTTATGACGGTTGTGGCCAGAAT